CCATCCCGTCCTTGTCCCTTACCCCCACCCCAGCTTGTCCTTTCCATAGCCCCATGCTTGTCCCTTATCCCCATCCCCTGTTCACTTATCCCCCTCCTCAGACCCATCCCACCCCCACAAAAGGAGGAATGGGGACAGCTGCAGCACTGGGAGCCACATCCCTGTGCTGAGTGTCACCTTTTCCCATGTCACAGGTGGCCTTTCCCCCTCCTGATCCCCCGCCCGGATGATCCATGGGAGAGATGATCCATCCCGGCCTGCCTCATCCCTGGAGCCCCGAGGGATCCCTCCGCGCATCCCTGGAGGAGTGGAGCCTCCCCGCCGCGCTCCCTGTCCCCTCCCAGCGCCAAGGTCCCCTCGCTCCGCCTCCTCCTCCGCGTGGCTGACGGTGGGTGGCCGCGGTGACAAGCAGCCCCTCCGCGGTGGCACGGAGCGGCCGGAGGGGCCGTGTCCCCTGCCCTGGGGACACACAGGGCTCTGCCTTGCCGGGGTGGCCGGAGAAGCCTCTCCCTGTGCTCGGAGCTCCTTGGATGTGCAGTCACCCACGCCGGAGCCTTCCTCCTCAATAAAGAGCTCCCCCACACTATGTCTTATGGCTCAAACCCTAATCCAGGGATCCCTCAGGATGCTTCCAGTTCCAAACCCACTCCAGGAGAAAGAGCTCATCCATCCTCTGCCTCAAGCCCTAATCCACTTATCTCCCAGGATGTTCCCAACTCCAAAAATCCACTTCAGGATGGAGCTTACCCTCACTCTGCCTCATGCCTCAAACCCTGGTCCATACACATATATCCCTCCCAGGATGCTCCCAGCTCCCAAACACACTCCACAACAAAGAGCTCATCCACACTCTGCCTTGTAGCCCAAACCCTGATCCACATACCCCCAGGATACTCCCAGCTCTGTGGTTCCAGCTCCATAACTCCAGGATAAAGAGCTCATTCACAGTCTTGTGGCTCAAATCCTAATCCAGGGATTCCTCAGGATGTTTCCAGTTCCAAACCTGCTTCAGGATAAAGAGGTCATCCACCCTCTGCCTCAAACCCTGATCCATGTATGCGCTCGGGATGCTCCCAGCTCTGTATTTCCAGCTCCAAAACACACTCTAGGATAAAGAGCTCATCCACACTCTGCCTCATGGCTCAAACCCTAATACATTTATTCCTCCAGGATACTCCAGCTCCATGTCTCTAGCTCCCAATCCCACGTGAGGATAAAGCTCACTCACTCTGCCTTGTGCCTCAATCCCTGACCCATGTATCCCCCAGGATACTCTGAGCCCCACATTCCCAGCTCCAAACCCCACTCTGGGACCTTGTGGGAAGCTTTAATTCCAAGAGAATTCCTTACACTCTGTGCTTCAGGAAAAACTTGCCCCAATATTTCCCCTTATGCCGCAGGTCATAGGGACTCAGGTACTTCCTCATCCCCAACATGTTGGAGGTAACCACACGCTCAAAAGTCCAAGGATTCTGGTTGTTGAGCCTCTTTTCCTCCTCTTCCCGACGCATCTCTTGGAGACTCTCCCGGCTGACAGGAATGGCGGGAAAGGGCAGTTTTTCGGCCACCCGAGCCAGGAAAGGTCTCACCTCCCCGAACTGGCAGCATCCCCCGACCTCCACCACCAGCCTCCCACTCTTCACTGGTGTCACATAGTGGTCGATGGGCCCTTTCCCGCCTCCCATCCGGTGTCCCAAGCTTTTCCGGGTCACCGGCTTGGACGGGGCGGGAACGCGCCACACGGCAAACATGGATTTGGGATCAATGCTGCGGCCAATGGTCAGGCGGATCATCTCCAGGTGGCCCCAGTGCAGGTAGCCCCCGCCCAAAGCCTGGAGAAGGACAGGAGAGGGATTTCAGGGATACAGGGAGAGGGATGGAGCACGCTGTGTCCTGCTTGGAGGAAGCAGATACATCCCAGTGCTTCCCACTCAGCTGCACTGAGCCTCAAAGCTCCAATTCCCACTTACCTTCTGTGTTCCACTCGCTGGGAACACAGGGATATTCCCAACGGAAGCAGCTCAGCCATTCCAGCTTCCCAAAGCCAGTTTGGCAGCAGCTGGATACTGCTTGGTTTGACAGATCTCAGCACTGGCCGAGTCTCCACTATCCACTCCAAACTCCCTCCAGGATTCCCCCTGGACACCCTCTCAGCTCCAATTGAAAGGCAGCGCTGCTTCCCACTCACCAGGATCCCATACTGCCCCTGGATGAAGTCCGTAGCTTCCCGGGATGGCCCGCGGATATCACGGAGCCGTCGCGGCTCCCGACGGACCTTGGGCACCGATGGGACCTTGTCTAAAAACTTCAACTTCGCCTTCTCCGGGAAGATGATTCCTGCCGGGAGACACCTGGATGAGGCTCATCCGCCCCAGGAGAAAAAAAAAAAGGTGGAAATAGCTCCGGTTCTGCCCTGGGATATTCCCTCACCTCTGTAATCCGGGGGAGGCACCAACTTCTTCAGCCCCGCGCGGGGGACGGCGACGCCGCCGGGACCTGCGGAACAGAGCGGGGAATCACGGCGGGGCCCGATACGACGGCT